TAATGTAATGTATTCAGCACTTCTTTCCATTCAAACAGTTCCAGCAGATTACTACAAGATGGATGGCATGTAGTAGCTCAATACAACCCACAGAAGTCATCCAAAAAGAGCTGCTATCTTCCAAAAAAGCAGTTTCTCTGCTTCCCTGGTAAGAAAAGACACCACTGAATCTAGTCAGGGGAGATTGCTGTGCTGTAGCATGCACTAGAAACTGAAGATTAGCCTATAGATTTAATTTAACCCCCCTTTTTCCATTACCCCAAACTTCCTCAAACAAACCAATCTATTTCAGTCTTTCTAACTTTCTTCCTGCAGCCGTAGGAGTAATCTTGACAAGTTGGCAGAGTTGTGCGTGTGTGAGCAGGTGCATTGTGTCTGTGGGAGGAATTTATTTTGGGAATGGAACATTATTATTTCTATTTTAACACTCAGAGACCACATGTGTACTTACATAGCTAGACAGAGGAGCTGCTAGGATGAGTAAGACTGCTTTCTGGCTCTTTCTGCCTGGTTGTTTGTCAATCTGTGTGTACCTCCTGGGTAGAAGCTCACATCAGGGCAGGAAATCAGTCATCTGGTGCCTGCCTGAAGAGCTCAGAGGCTGCACAGGAAGCAGAAGGACCTGGGACAGGGACTGAGGTGAGGCCCTGCTGTATTCAGAATATGGGATTGGATAGGACCCAATTTCCTTAGTACTTTTACATGACTACTAATTCTATTGATTTCCAGGAGTGACGCCAGTTTACATGACAAGAGAATCAGACCAGTGGTCCCCATCCGTTATTACCACCCTCAGTTCAATTGGCCTATGACACATCTGCCAAGTTGTACATGCAGCCCCTACAAAAGCATTAGTTCTTCCAGCAACTTGCAAAGTGATTTTGTTTCCATCTTCCACATGTGTCTTTGCTTCCTATTGCTGAAACCCAGTGAGACCCCTAACATGTTTCAGGTGACTACAAATTTGCCCTTTTGGGCCAGTTTCAATGCCAAAGCAAAGAGGGAGCATCAATGACATCCAAGAAGCAGCAGCAGCTATTTTGTTGAGCACAGAGGCTGGAGAATTTTGAAATCTGCCCTGTGAATTTTGGGCATTTTGGAGTTTTGTTCAGAAGGAATGCCCATCATTTCCTGGTGGCCTTCCTATAATTTCCAGGCACTGATATCTACGGTATCATGTACCAGTACATCCGGATTTAATGCATAAATAATTGCCTTTCCACCACAATGACAACACCACTCTTTTATAAGACCAGAACTTTTCGGACCAGATGCTTTTCGGACAACAAGCATCTTTTGCCTGGCCCCATCATATTGTCATGCTAAGCCACTTTCCATCTTCCCTTCACATGTGCTTAATGACCCATAGAAAATTGGTAGTGTTTAAACATTAAAGAGCCTTTTTAAATATTAAACAGCAAAGTTCACCTGATTGTTAAAAGCCGTATCTGCAGTGGGAATGGAAGCAAGTTTCTGCTGTCCAGCCCTAGGCTTCTCTCCAGCTGGTGTTACTGAATCTGGGGGGGCACCTTTCAGCAAGACATCGACCAGTAGCTTGACACTCAGAAGTGGCAGGTGAATGCAAGCACTGGTGTCAAAACAGTTTTCTCTTCAGCAACAAGACATGCTTCTCACCAGATAACCATTCTCATTTTTAATCTATTTTGCATTAATGAATGCTACTGATCAGTGTCCTTTAACTGATGCTAGTGATCAGCTTACTCAGATTTGGGCAAGTAAAAGCTCCCCAAAGTAGGAATTTGCCTGAAATGATTCATTACAGAGGACTTCTGTACTGAAAGGTATAATAAAGACAACATTTTTTTCTTCAGACCCTTTTCTAAGGATCTCAAACCCATTTGATGTGCTTCAAAAACTCTGATGATTTTTTTGCACAATCACCTTGTAAGATATTATTATCCTCATTTTATAGATGTAGAAACTGAGGCAAACATAATGCGAGTTCCCTGAGTTCACATGAAATCAGTAGCAGGGCTGGGACTAGAACCTGGATATCCTAAGTCTCAGTCATATACTTGGAGAGCTAGATCAACATCCATTTTAGACCTACTGGCACAGTCCCTCCATCACATCTTAAATCAAATATTATATTAATGGCTCTCTGCCATGTATATCACCATCCTCATGATTTTGCCATTGGCACCTGAGTATTCATTTAACCTTTAGTAGCTGTTAATTAGCTTTGCTTATATCTTTCCTTTTCATTTGTTTTGTGTCTTCCGGGGAAAAAAATGTAAAGAAATTACAAAGAGCCGAAAGTGTAAATTATTTTTCATCCTTATGGAATAAAACAGAAATAATGGTGACTAAAAACTTCCATGCAGCAAAATTTGAACCCACTTTCAAAATCTGATTCTGCTTACTTTGTATAAATATGTCATTACAAGTTTATTCCAATAGTTGCAGTGTATTACATGCAGTCTAGGACAAGGTTTTAATTATTTTAATGGGACTGTTTGGCGCCCTCTGGTGACAGATATGATCCAGGTTATTTTGCATTTTCACCACAGGCTGAGACCTAATACCTTAGACTAGTGGTTTTTATACTCGAAGCACCCCTTAATAGACTTGAGGGATCCCTCAGAAAATGCCAACTCTTTGCTTTCCTTCTGTTTTTGAATCCAGAAAAATAATAGAGCAGCTCTTCTGTTGCAGATAACACAGAAAGCCCGCAGCAGGTCAAAAGGTTTTTAACACTATGGTTACCTATGTGAAAACTCTAGGTTTATCTTGTGAATCAGGTTTGTACACCTAACAGCACTAACATTTTGCAGCATGCCACCTCAGCCTTGAAAGGATTGCAGGGCACCCCAGTGTGCCACAGCACCCTGGGTGAGTATCACTGTTACAGACCTTTTTCCTTGCTGTCATAATTACACCTCCTCCTTTCCATTAGGACATCATGGCAGTACTGACAGCAACATACCACTGATTTGACACAATGATAACTATTATTAAAAAAACTGACCACAGAATTACATCCATTTCAACTGAGCAAGAAATTAGGTTCCATATAAAAGTACAGATCTTGTATAGGATAAGGTATAGATAAGATGCATTTCTGTTAAGTGCTGTTTCCAGTGGCTTTTCTCTAAACGCTGTTGTTTCTTTTGTCCTTTCTTTTTTCTCCCTCTCTTGGCTTCTGTGAGAAGATGTTAGTGTTTTCATTCTGATACTTGCCTATTTGAACCTAATAGCATACACCTCAGAGGAAGCATGACAACGGTTCTGTGATCTTAAGTCACGTGGATCAACATCAGCTGCAGGAGCAGTATTCTCCTCAGCTCTTGGCTTGCAAGATTTCTCTGAAAGGGTTGTAGTTGGTAGGAGACATTATTAATAGGAGATTGGAAAGCTTTTGTGCTTCAAGCAATCTTAAAAGGGACATGATGTATTCAGTGAGAAATGGCAAGGAAATAATAGTCATATACTAAAAAATGGATGCCTTTGAAAAGCATATAACTTTTCCTGTAATGTTCCTGATTGTCTGGTTAGCAGGAACCAGGAAGATTTCTTTCTCTGAATGGATTGTCAAATGCCTTAAGAGGCTTTACGGTGGAGGGCTCTTTACCTTATAGAAGGTGGATGGACAGATGACTATGGATATCTTTTTATTGTATATTTTTAAGTGTGATGGGTGGGGAGAATGAGTTCCATTGAGTCAAGGCCTATTTTCAACCCTCACCACTTACTTGGAGCAATGCTAGTTTTGTCTTGCCCTTGTCATTATGCACTGATACATGGGTACAATTCTTCTGTCATTCTACTTGAAATTGTGCATCACCTTACACTGGAGACAGCATCACAGGTGTTAGAGACAGAAAGGTGAGGTTCAAAAGTGCTTGACCTTGGCAGAACTCTGCAATGATTGCATGAAGTGGTAAAATTCCTGTTGACTTCAATGAGAACAGTATTAGACCAATACCAAGTCCTTTTGAAAATCCCACCCCAAATACTTCAGTTTCACTCCATCTCCTGCCCCTTTACTAAGATTTTTCCAAACTTCCTGATGGGCTTCTGCCATTTCTGAATCTTATTCTTGCCCATAAATTGGCTAGAGACTGGCCAGTGATATGAGCAATGATTTTCAAGTCTCTGCATGATGGAACTGGAGATGGAAATTTTTCCAAGGAGCTTTGCTCCCCACAATATTTACCTCTATTGGGATAACTTGGAACAATGACACTCCTCCAGTGACAGTGCTGAAACAGTCTGGTGAGACTGGCTTTTGCTCATGCACTTCTCTGTACCTCTGCTCTGTACCTCTAGAATAGAGGGAAGTCCAAGGTCATGGGCTGAATGCAAAGCCATAGGAACAGACCTAGTTGCAGCACCAGCAAAGCAGTACTAGCATTCCTGTTGCTAACATGAAGACTGAGAAGCAGGACAATTTTGATTTTAAAAAAGCAGTTGATTCTAGAAAAAATTCCAAGCAACCCAGAACACACTATCATCCATCCCCTTCTCTTTGGTTGGTTTTTCCTGAGAGAGAGGTAGTCCAGAGTAGGCAAGATATTGACTTATTGAGAACTACGAAAATTGCTCCAGCTCCTTCCCTTACACCATGCTAATTATTTGTTTAACTGTTTTATCCCCACCACAGAGCTGACTGTTTTTTAGTGGTGTTGTAGTTTCTGTGTGCATGTAGTTTATAAAGTGTTGGGGATCCTTTCATAAGAAAAGCTCCATATAAATAAGTAGGTATTACACATCACTATTATTCACAGGTCTTCCTTTTAGCACATGTGGGATCTTGGTGCCATGAAGCCCTAAAGAGGAAACTTAACGTGATGTTCACAATTCCCCAGATTAAAGCTAGAACACAGCTTTTTATACTGTGACATTTCAGTACAACCTGCTAGGAGCTGCCAACATCTGTTTTGCATAAGGAAAAAAAACACAAGACTATCACATAGCTGCTTCAGGCAGGTTAAATTAACCTCAGAGATGCAAAACCAACTAATTCCAACTCTGTCAGCTCAGGGATCAAACACCCTGTAAGCAGTGTTTTTGCTTTATTTGCCAGACTGTATGTCATATCAGATTTCTACCATGTTCTTTACTAATGTCATCAAATCTCAAGCGATTTTTGCTTACTGTCCAAGTGCTACCACGAGTCTTTACTGAAACATATCCAGGGTGTCCCCTCTGTGCTCTGCACAGCATTTGGTATGGAGTTATTGATACCATTTGCCAATATCTGGGCCTTTTCCACATGACTAGCTGAGCTGCTTCTTTCACTTCAAGCACTGCAGCTGGGATAAGCATTACAACAGAAAAGGAGCTGTATCCCCAGACCTCTAGGGCACTACAAAGTCAATTGGTTTTGCTATAGTCCACTAATCTTACTTTGGCTTTTCATCTGAAATACCAAAAGGAATTTTTGCAGGCCCTACGTGCCCCTCAGTGGTAGATCCGTGTTCCTCTTATGATATAGGACACTGCTGTAAAAGGCTGCTGGTAGAATCCCACCATTCATATCCTCCTGGCAATGTCTTCTCTGTTATCTATAAAGCTGCAAAACCAAGAAAGAACGGCTTTGTACAATCATTCAGAGGTAGCCATGCGGGCAGGTTTGCTGCTGAAGTTGTGGGTGGCTAGTCAAGAGAATCAGTCTCTTATAAGACAGCTCATGGATATCTGCTCTGCCCAGAGGCTGGACCATCTGTTCTGTGTCCTTTCCATCTCCCAGCAGAGCATCTGGATTATGAATACACATGGTTTTGAGTAGGGGTGAGTCTCTCAGGAGATTTATGCTGGTTTCTCTGGCGGCTGCTTGGTTGGACTTGGGAGCCGTGGTTCGGGATTCCTGCTCTGGCTTGAAGGAGGGGGCCACGTGGTTTTCTGATGAAGGTGGCTAGAAATAGAAACCAGGTTTTACTTATGTGAGGGAGAAAAACATATACAGTAGTGTAAAGGCAAAATTATGTCTGAATGTAAGCATAGCTATTCCTTTTGCTTACAAATGCCCATTTGTGCAGTCTTGAGCTTGCCTTTGTAGTTTCTTGCTTTGTGCCTGATTAAAAAAACGGGCCCTCAGATTTTTAGAGTGTTATTAAAATGGCCAAGTCAATGTTTGGCCTTGCACCTTTAAACATATAGGTCTCAAAAGTAAGTTCCTAATTCAGCAAAATGCTTGGGTACTTGCTCAACTTTCAGCACAAAAGTATTCCATTAATCTGTGTAAGCGATTTGTGTGATCAGGACCCAAATACAGCCATACCAATTGTATTCTCTGAGCTACAGCTGCAGTATATCAGGATTCCATAAGGTGCATTCATATGACTATTTCAAATGTATTTATTGAAGCAGGTAATATTCACACACTTTTATCTAGTGAAGAACTGTAAAATAGGTTAGGAAGTTGCCCTGCAGTTATAAAACCCTTTCTGGAAGGGAGGGCAGGAGGGAGGGAGAAAGGAAGGAAGGAAGGAATTAATTAATTCACAACAAAATCCTTCCTTGTTGGACAAAAACTTCCCTGTTATCTAGACAGAGACTCATCAGCACTCTCTGAAGGCTTGGCCCTATAGTTACCTCTAATCTGGATCCTTCCTTTGAAGGAGGGATATATCTCCCTTCTCATATCTACATCTGTGCTTTCCCTAGAGCTAGCACAAAGCCAGTCCAGGAGCACTTGACATTTTATACCTGCTCCTGGTCTAGTATGTGGGTTTTCTGTTCTCTATACCATTATACCAGCACCCCTTTTCTAGTGATATTGCATTACTGAACTGCCAAGATGCTTCCTGGAAGGTGACTTACATGTGGAGTTTAATATGTATGAAATGAAACTGAGAATGTTGACTGCTGCACAAGGTGCAATGGTCAGCAATTAAGCTGATCTAGTATTTCTGACTGAACAAGATCGAGGGAAGAGATTTGTGGGAAGCAGCTTTCAGTTTCAGAGTGTGAGTAGGTTGGGCTATTAACTTCTGTTTCAGGAGATATAGCAGCCTGGCAAAATGAAAATGATGAAAAGTACTTAAAGAGCCAACATAAATTTTAGTCATATTCTGTAAAGAAACTTTCTAAACTCATTTAATCAAAAAGAGATCCGTAACCCAGTGCAACTGCCCTTGGACAACAGTCTCCTGAATGGTGAGATGTTTGAGATAATGGTCATTACAACGAAAGAAATTCAAGGACAAGATGGATTTGAGACTTACTCCTTGTAGTCTGGGGGTCTCCCACTGGTCAGGCACTCATCCTGGTTATATGGCAAAGCTACAGACACAAGCACACACCCAACAGTCAATGAAGGTCTATAAAACATAGTTACTTGTTTCTCCCCTAACAACAAGTACAGTGCAACCAGCACTGCTGAGCATTTACATGGTGCCTTAATATGTATTCAAAGGAAGCAAAGGATTCTGGCAGCTGTAATAAGCTCAAGTGTATTAGGTAAGATCAAACTCCAAAATGCTAGAATTATATCCCTTGCACCTGAAGCTGAGAAGCTCAGTTTTCACTGAAGCTGAGATTTCATTGCAAACTTTTAAGGTGAACATACAGTCTTCCTAAAAGCCAAGTGCCAGAAAAGCCAATCAGTATTTTAAGGCTACCTAGTGAAAAGTCCATGCATGAAGTACCAGGAAGACCAAAGAATTCCCTGAGCACTGCAGTCCAGGGGAGCTGTTGGATTTGCACTGTGGCTATGGAAAAAAACAATGCTGGAATACAGGCTGAGAAGGGTAGTGGTTGTATGCTCCTTTGGGCACCAGGGAAGGGTTAGGGCCATGTACCTGTCCAGAAATAATGATGGAGTTGGGGCTGTATGGGAAAGAGAAAAACTGAAAATCTTTAAGGCTAGGGACAGACATTCAAAAAGCCAGAGCCTAGATTGATTCAATCTTTGCAGACTGAAAGATCTAAACAGTTCAATCTAACCCAACTAGATTGAACCACTTTGCAAGTGAACAGACATTCATTTTTAACTCAGAAAACGCAGGCACATGCTGCAGTGGCTCAGGCCGGAAGCTGGGGGGTGGGCATTAGACCAGCCCTTGACTGCAGGGAAGCTGTGGTGGGGGGGCATTGCCAGCCTGGGCAGTAGCCTCAAATGAACTGGCCAGGGTCAGGGTTTAAATTCCCCATTCCCTGTCCCACTGGCACAGATCAGAGCTAGGGTTCACCCAGTGCTCCCCCTCATTGCCACAGGGGCAGAGGCATGGCCCGAGGCTGGCCAGCATGGCCCTCTGAGGCAGAGGGGGAGGGGTTTATTCTCAGCCCCGACTGTTGCCTGCCGCCACCCATTGCTCCCTGCACGAGGCAAGCAACAGAATAAGCCCCCTCCCTGCCCCCTTGCCTAAGGGGGCCATGCTGGCTGGCCTCTGGCCATGCCCCTGTTCCTGCTGCTGGGGCAGGGACCATGAGGGGAGCAGCAGCCCCTGTCATGGTTTCCCAGGAGCACAAGCCTCTTCCTGGCAGGGGGCTGCACTGTGGGTAGGGGCAGGGGTGGGGTGGGGTGGGCAGAGCCACCGCAGACTGCGCAGGGCGAATGGCAACAGTGCTAGGAGGGGCTTGGGGAGCTCTGGCCACCCCTCCAATCCCCGGTGCCGCTGCTTGCCCCACACAGTCTGCAGCAGCTCTTCCCACCCTGCCCCCATCTGCAGTGCAGCCCCCACATCGGGAAGAGGCTTGTGCTCCTTGGAAAATATGAGGGGCTGCTGCTGCATCAAGGTCCCTGCCTCCTTGCTGCTTCAGCATGTCCCCACACCTGTAGCAGTGAAGAGGGAGCACCAGGTGGACCCCTTCTTGGGTCTATGCCAGTGGGACAGGGAGGAGGGAATTAAACACCCTCCCCGGCCAGTTCACTGGAGGCTACTGCCAAGCTGGCCCTGCCCCCACTGCTGGAGCAGTGAGCAGAGAAATACTTGACAGGGGCTGCTGTGCCCCAAATATACCCGACAGGGACTGCTGTGCCCCTGCCTGGCAGACCCCACTGGGGTCCATGCTGGTGGGACAGGGGAGAGAGGAAGGAATAAACCTCTTCCCTGCCTCCTTCACCTTGTGGGGGCTGGCATCGGGCCATGCCCCCACCCCTGCCCACCGCTGCTCCAGCTGGGGAGCAGAAGGGAGAGGCCAGCCCTGCTCCACTGGAGCAAAGAGCACAGCCCTGCCCAGGGCTGCAGAGCATGCTGGGATACTGAGGGACTCTGGTTTAACTTAAACCAGGAGGGGGTCTGGGATGGAAGTTCTATAAACCAGTTTGAGCTCAGTCAGTTAAGTTTGATACTACATTCAACCAGGTTTATCTCAAACTGGTTTTGGTCATTCTGAAACTGGTTTATGTACAGTGAACTTATGTTTTGTTACAAGTTTAAACAGTTTCTGATCACTTAAACCAGTTTATGTGTAGCTTCTGTCCCTAGCCTAAAACTTTTGGCTCTCAAGGAAAGAGACCAGAGGGGCACCAGATTGACAGGTGCAGTTAAAGTGATATGTCCCTGGATCCTGTCTGGGTGTTATAAGCTTAGTGCAGAATTGTTAGATACAATAGTGAAATTGAACTCTCAAACACTAAATTAGAATCCTTTAGACTAGTGGCTCTCAACCTTTTTGGACTCAAGGTACCCCTCACTGGACTGAAGGTGTCCTTCCATAACTTTTGTGAACTGAATTAAATTTCAAAACCTCATTTATAGAATACAGTACTTACTTCTCTACAGAGGGGATGGGCAGCAGGGATGCAGGATCATCCAGGCAGGGACAAGCCTGAGCCTGTGCTTATCTGATCAGCTTATCTCCTCATCTCCTAACACTTATCTCCTTACACTTCAGAGCATTCTTCAAAAGATCTAGCAGCACTGCAGAGTGCCCTGGCACCCTGATTGAGAATTTTCGCTTTAGACTAACTTCTGGCTCCAGAGCAGCAAGAGACGCGCAGGTGAAAGCCCACCGTGCCTCCACTCCCCTGAAGCCCCCCAGACACCTCCCAGCAGCCGCAGAGCCCCCCGCCAACCCCCAACACAGCTGGAGGCAAGAGGGGCCTGTGGTGGGAAGGGGTTAACCCCTCACTGAGTGGGAGGAGGCAGCTGGGTGGAGCTGGGCTGGGTCAAGCCCCACCCAGGCCCCTACTTTGCCCAGCCCCCCAGGGAGCCACACAACCGGAGCTGCGTGAAGAGGCTGCACAAACAGGCGCACTTGTCTGCCGGCGCATGAGTTAGCATGGAGCTCACACAGGAGGGTGCGCGGGAGGGCCCGAGACCCTGCCTGCAACACCCCCAGGGTAGACAGTCCCAGCCATAGCCAACCTACCAGAGGCATAACATGGATGGGCACGCACCGCACCCCAAAGCTCCCCTCGGGCTCTGCGGTCCCCCCCTCTGGCACCTCAGAGATGACCACCCAGATGGAGCCCACGGTTCCAGGCTCCATGTGGACGGAGCCTCTGGCTCTCCGCTGCAGGGGCTGCCTGTCCCTTTTTCAGGCTCTGGGGCCCGGGAGCATTGTCACCTCCCCGGGTGGGGTCTGCTCCCTTTTGGGGTCTCTGGTGCGCCAGCTGGAGGAGCTCCAGGCCACAGTCAAGAGACTACGCGCCATTAGGAGCTGTGAGCAGGAGATCGACTCCTACTGCCAGGCCCTTCTCCCCCGGGAACCGGAGGGTAGACCACAGTCTCCCTCCAAGGACAAAGGAGGACTCCAGGACCTCCCACTCTGTCCAGTCAGGGGCATGGATCAAGGTGGTCAAGGGCCCTAAGGCCCGCCGCACCAAGGCCCCTGCCCTGCCAGAGCTTAAGAACAGGTACGCACCTCTTGCTGCTCCAGCAGAGCCTGCTGAGTTGCCAGCTCCCACAGGCAACACAGGCACTACTGTAGCTACTGCTCCCGCTCTCCCCAAGACAAAACGTAAGGTGTTTGTAGTGGGAGACTCCATCCTGAGGGGGACTGAGGGGGTAATCTGC